CGGGAACTCGGTAGAAAATCCTACTCGGCGGGCGGGGTGGGGGAGGCACTGCGGAGTGGTGGGGGGCGGCCCGAGGGGCTGGGAGAGGGTCTGGCCCACGCTGCGCCTGGGCTGGGACTGGTCCCGCCAGCGCAGGGTAGCAGGAAACTCTCCGCACACTCCTATATTGAACTTTGATGAATGTACTGGAATGATATGAAGACAGCAGCAAAAGATTAAAACTCCAACTCCACTTTTGTTTCTGTGTTCCCTCCTTCATTCTTCTCTCTTTCCTTCCCTGGAGGTGTCAATGAAATCTACTGCCTGCTTGGCCTGTAGCACTCCTTTCCACCCACCATACTGCTTCCATTCACAGTCCTTGCAACCACTCCTTCAGTCCATTCATTTACAAATTACTTTTTCTTGCATATGCATCCTCAATACTCCAAAGCAAATTACAATTACTGTCTTCTTTTAAAATAAATGCCTATTTTGAGTTCAAATACTGTCAACAGAGTCAAAGAACCACACCCAATTAGGGTTTTAATCAGAAATAAATGCTCAGTGGGCCTGTGACATAGCTCAGCAGACTAAAGCTCCTGCTAAGGCAGGCTCAGGCAAACCAAGGGCTCATGGCTCAATCCCCAGCACCATATGCCATGGCAGCCCCAGGCACAAGGTGGACTGAGCCGGGTAGAGTCCAGGTGTAGCGGTGCATGCCTGTACTCCCAGCACTGGAGAGGCTGAAAACAGGAGGATCATGATGAGTCAGAGAAGTGTAATGACAAAATACATAGGAAAAGACATAAGCATTCAAGATTATAATTGGAGTTCTTAAATTTAACATGGAAAGGGAAAGCAATGACTCCGAAACCAACAACTGGGTGTGGGCACACGGTGAATACCTCCACCTACTTATGTAGTATTCATTTCAGACAGATGTGTGTTGTACTGCTCAATGGACTGCATCAACTTTAAAAGTTTAGGAGCTTATCTAACTTGGCTCAGCATTCCACACCCCAGAGTGGCTCATCACTTGAACTATGTAAGAGGGAAATGAGCAAAAACAGACGTTTCCGTTTTCTTTGGAGGAGCTCTACTCTTTACCTTCAGCTTCGATGTCATCTCCTGGCTGCCAGGGCCAACTTTTCAGCTTCTGTCTTGGATCCGCAGCCTTCATTGTAGACTCTTCTGTCACAGACACATTGGTCTCCTGATACGGACTTTCGTGACACACAGCTGTGAGCTCCAGCGTCCATTGTGCAGACGCCCTCTGCACGCTTCCGCCTCTGACTCTGTGGCTGACTGTCCAAAGCCAATCTTGTGACTTCTTATCCATTTGTACATCTTGTTGTATATCTACTTGTCTAGTGAAACCTTCTAGGCATGCTCTGCCAGAGTGCTCAGATCATGTATGATTTTGTTTATTTTTTGTTATTACTTTCATATATTTGATTGTTATACGGTTTAACTACAACGTCTCACTAACTAGGAATCCATTGTTCTAACTGTGATTGGTTCTACCAAGGGCAAAACGGTGGCAGGAATGAGAAAAGATAGAGAAGAGGAAAAAAATTTGACTAGGTGGTTACTGGTCTGCCTGATAGGCAAGCCTATCTCAAACCCCCAACAAAAGAATCCTTTATACTTTTGTAAAGTTAATCATATGTGACACAGGTTTGCCTACTGACCAGTAGCTGAATTTCACCGGTGAGGCTGTTTATCTCAGGACTGATGTAGCTTGTTTGCGTTAGGCACTGAGTCTTAGTCCCACCTGCACGGATTTGAACAATTTCCTAGCTTTGTTGGATCTGAATATCTACCAAGCTCCACTTCCTAGTGCTCTTGGTGTTTTCAGCCTCCCCAGTGCTGGTATTACAGGCACATGCCACCACGCTCATGCCACCAAGCTCAGAATCGGCTTCCAGCTCAGTGCTTCCAGGCTGGGGCCAAAGTGGTGTGTGGCACCTGGGATCAAACCCCAGCCCTGCGTTAGCCTAAGAGGGGCTTAACCTGCTGAGATGTCTTGCTGGCCCTCATATATGTTTTGAAAAACCAAAAACATATGTATGCATTAATATGATTCCACAGGTAGCACAGAACATATGGCAGGTAAACTCTTTCTTATCACATTATCTAAACACCCTGTAAAATACCTGGATATCAATACACTAAGACAGCTTGTTGAATAAATCATATACAGTATAGCACAAACATATATTGAACACAAATATAGCTGTCAGTAAAGGAAGATTAATAAGGATAAAAGGAAATATAAATCTGTGACAGAAAAATGTTCTACCACATATCTACAAGTTTTTCCACAACATATCCCACAAATCCAACACATTGGCATCACATAATCAACAGTGATTATAATTACACATGATCAGCCAAATCTAGAATCTTAAAATCCATGTTAGATAAAACACTTACCTATTGGAAAAGGAAAGAGTGAGTAGAGAAATATATATACTACTATGAATATGTGCAATAAGTAGCACAGAGAAGAAGGGATACTCCTCAAAAGAGATAAGCAATTAATACATTAAATGATTGAGAAAAAGTGTCATACTGGAAAGAATTTATTATTCTTTAAAAGTGAAAATATTGAGAAAACCAAAAGAAAGACAAGATAAAAGTTGATAACATAGTCACAGTGACAATAGGATGAATTCTGGCTTGAAAAGAAAACAAAATATCTAGAAAAAATTCAACTTCAAGAGATGATAACTACAGCTACTAGCAAACAGCTTGCTATTAGAAGAAGTTGCATCACTCAGTAAGAATATGAGTCCCATAGTAGTGGACTTTATTACCTGACTTCACATATGTTTTCACTTTGAATCCAGGCCCTCTGTGTATACTAGGAAACTGTTTTATTGATAAGAGAACTTCTTTTAGATAAAACATGTTTTGTCTCTAATCCCAGTGAAAAAATTTTATCTGATTTTACCAAAAGAATGTATCACTTGGGGACAAGGATGCAGCCCAGCAGCCCTGCACTGGAGGCCAAGATGGAGAAGACCTCCATGACCACCATGGCCTTCCCCTTGCTGCTGTGGTACACAGGCAAGAAAGTGACCCACACGCTGCAGAACACCAGCATGCTGAAGGTCAGGAACTTGGCTTCATTGAATGTGTCAGGCAGGTTCCTGGCCAGGAAAGTCACAGTGAAGCTCACCAAGGCCAGGGAGTCCAGGTGTCCCAGGACACAGTAGAAGGCGGTGAGGGAGCCCTTGTTGCACATGATGATGATGTGGCCATGTTCAGAGTGAGCATCTGTGTCAAGGTAGGGTGGATTTGTCCCCATCCAGACTCCACAGAGAGTGAGTTGGATCAGGGAGCAGATGGAGATGATGGAGTTTGTTGCCCCTGATATCAGCAACTGTCTCATCCTTCTGTCTGGAGCAGTGGCCTTGAAGGCCAGCACCACAGTAATGGTTTTGGCCAAGACAGTCGAAACAGCCAGTGAACACAACTCCAAACATGATCTGCTGCAGCATGCAGGTGGCTGCGTTAGGAGGGCCAATGAAGAGCAAGGAGCAGAGGAAACAGCAGGTGAGGGAGATGAGCAGGGTGTAGCTGAGAGACCTGTTGTTGGCCTTGACGATGGGAGTGTCTCTGTGCTTCACAAAGAGCCCAAGTAGAGCAGCTGTGAGAACAGAGAGACTCAGGGCAGTGCCAGCCAGAGCCTTCCCCAGGTTTCTTCATTAGCCAGAAATGTCACAGACTTTTCTAGGCAGTGGTTTCTGTCGGTGTTGGCATATTGGTGATCTGAACAGTTCACACTGCTCCAAGTCTAGGAATAATTAAATTTGTTGTTTGCCTAGGTCTATGTTTTACAGGTCTATGCCAGAAACACATTGGAGCTCCGTGGACTAATTTGTTTTGTTTTGGTTTTTTTGGGTTTTTTTTTTTTTTTGGAGTTTTTTTGCTTTTTTTCTTTCTTTCTGTGTATTTTCCTTTATGTGTGATTGAGCTCAAACTGTGCACTGAGATATAGTCCTGAACGCTTTAAATTTTATTATTTAGAGAGGCTCTCCTGAAGTCATTAGGTGGTCACTGCCGTGTTCTGACTTACTATATTCTTGTCTCACCTCCAGGAGCCCTGGAATGCAGGCAGGCCTCTCCACACCTCACTTTCCATGATTTTCTAGACACAAATTAACAGAGTGGTATTTAGAGATTAACTCCTAAATAAAACTATATCTTGTTTATTTTCCTTTGAAATCTGGCCTATTCATAAACCATTGTATTTTCACAAAGAACTGAAGGATCAACCTTTTGCTACTTACTTCACTTATGTGATACAAGTAGAATCTTTATTAATGCTTCCCCAGATATTTCGATGAAAAATATCATATGAAAAAGTCTCAATGACAAATTTGAGGATAACATTCTGTGATATAAAAAAACTTTCGTTGAATGCTTATTATTTTTTATTAAAAATCTGAATCACTTCTATTGTTTTGTTTTTCATTTACCATTTTGTATTCTCTTTGAAAAATGTTTTAAAAGATCAAAATAATACATGCAATATAGAATGCATATATGTCTCAGTGTGCTTTTACTTCAATGCACAGAATTTTCAGGTGCAAATGATTTTAAATTTGTATTTTGATTTGTTTGATACACTATGTATGCTTGAGAATTATACCACCAAGTTCATGTATTGCCTGATATGATTGGAGGCATTGTTTGCTGCATGTGCACACACAATATTTAAAAAATACTATGTTTCCATACTGTATGGAAAATAGATATTCAAAGTAATGACATGATACAGTGCACATCTGTCTTGATGTATTTCAGAGAGGATTTGGGACATTTGATATCATAATATATGTATTTTGAAGTGAAAATTTCTATCCTCCATGAAACCAAATTAGAATATATTCAGTAGAAAGGTTCTTCCTTTTCCTTTTTTGTTATTCACCTTACATTTTTTAGAACCTTTAAAGATATATTTCTGTCAAAAGGACAAATAATTCTATTGCACTTGAAACAAAGTTACAAACTGACTTCTAGGGAAGTTAATATACTTTCTTCATAAATGTGCATTTTTCCCATGTTAATACATTCAAAGTTCTAGTCCATATTAATGTTCGTAATAAGTGAGTTTGAACAATGAAAAGATGTGAACAGTTTCCTAGCGGCGTGCTGAGAAATGCAGCTGAAGTGTTAGTTTCAAGTTATTTCAGATGGCATTTGGGGGTTCTAAGATGGGTGCAGTATGTCACAGACATGTAAATGAAATTCTGATTATTTTATGATTTTAAAAATGAAGTGCTGCTGAGATAGCCCAGAAGACTAAGAGCCTGCTCAGGTAAGAGTAAGGATGGGGGTTCGATCCCCGGTACCACAGGCGCTGCCCCCTGAGCATGCTGAGCCCCCCACCGAATCTAGGTATGGTGGCACACACCTGTAATCCCAGAGCCAGTGAGGCTGAGACAGGAGGACCAGTAGGAGTTCAAGTTTCGTAGTGAGACACTACCAAATACATCAAAGAAAAGGACCTCAAGTCTGCCAATGCCTTCAATAATGTACCCACAATCCAAAAGTGATTATATTGTTCTTGAATGGGAAAAATACAAATGGAATTGGCTTAGAACCAAAAATGAAAATATTTCTTGCAATACCCATGTCATGATTCGTAAGAATGTTAAATATTTCCGACGTGGTACTTACGGTGTTCAACATTAGACTCTAGAAATTATATAGAATATATTTAAATCCTCATCCTCATTTTACTTGTATTTCAATAACATAGTGTTCTCCTTTAGGTCATTTGAATATCACATGAGTGGAGAATGTGCCATTATGGCCACTTCTATTAATCCTAACAAGGATTTATGTGACTGATTTTTATTTTGATATAATACATGACTCCTAAGTAACTCTATTGTTATTTATTTTATTTTTAAATATGGCATATCCATAAAACATTCTATTTTTACAAAGCAATGAATGATCTACTTTTTAATTTGTTTAGGTAATCGTAGTCAAATCTCTACTAATGCTTCCTCAGATATTTATATACTAAATCTATCACCTCAATAAAAAGGCCCGTGACTCTCTCCTGAAGTGTAGATATCACTTGTTAAACCCCGTATTCTGTGTGCCCATCTTCCACACAGTTCTGTAGTGCAGAAGTCCAATTCATACCATCGGCTGTCTCCCCTACTGGCCTATGCATTCCAGAGGAAGAAAGATTAAACCAAAAAGTGGACTGTGCTCTGTTACATCCATGTTGTACATCAAAAACCTTCAGCCTCTCTGAGCATGGGCTCTATGTTAAGAACAGTGTCAGCCACTGGCACCTGGTGTGGGCCTGCCCTTGTCTTGACTGTAATCTTGCTGTGGCTCCACAGGTTGTAAGCAGTGGAATTTAACCTCTCAGTGTTAAACCTCACAAGGGAGGTGGAACACAGAAGGTGTGGCGAGGGGGACTGGGCTTGTCTGGAGGAAATAGTGCTTTTAGTGGAACTAGAAAAATAAACCAGTGTAGTTAGATGCGGTGATGACTATGTGCTCTTCCAGATAATTAGAGGATGAAAGTGAATATTTGAGGCAGTCTGAAGCAAATGGGTGATATTCTGTCCTATGATAATAAAGATTACCTGGGCACAGAGACCACTGACACAGAACATTTCTGGTTCAATTCCTAATAGTGCAAAACACAAGCAAAAAGAACAATGACTAAGAATATCATAAAAGGAAAATAAATTAGACTACATTTCAAAGGGGAAATTGTGTGGTCCAAAAGGCAGTAACCTGCTGCAACAAATAATATGACAAGTGAAGGAAGAGTTTTATCTTTGCTGTCCTCTACAATGTCTTTTCCATTTCTGGATGGATAGAATGAATATAACAGAGTGAGAAAAAAATAACAGAGTGAGAATGTGTCCACAGCACACGCTCCTACCTGTGCCACCACACCCAGACTCCATCGCTGGCTCGCCATGCCCAGCATCAGGGCCGGCATGCACTAAACTAAGCAAGCAATTAGTCTGCTGAGCTATATCACTGGCCCTGAGATCATCAGCATCTTTAATATCTTTTATCTAAAGCAACTTTAACAGTGGTACCTACTGTATTAGAGTCCAAAAACATTGCAGAATGAGAAATTCACTATGTTCAAGAAATTTCATTCAGTTTCAGAAAATAATTTTATGAAAGACTATTTAAAAAAGGTGTATCATTGTGTTGGGTAAAACTTCAAGTGTGGAATCAAAGCATATAAAACAATTTCCACTCTCTATTTGAATATTTTTGTAACATCTACCAAAAACGTGTGCTCATAATCTGTAAGGTATAACGTCATTGAGTTTTGTAAGTGATAACAGGGTTTTCTGTTGACCGTTAAGAAAAAAACATGTAAAACATGCATAAATGGGTAAGGCACTGACCTCCTGTAGGCAAAAGCAAGGAGCTGGATACCAGTTTACTTCTCTCTGCCAGTGAATCCTTGATTGAGGGTCATTTTCATTCACCTCAAGAATCACCTCCTTAGGGCTGGCCAAATAGCTTAGTGAAATAGTCTGCAAGCAAGTTCAGGGGCTGCAGGTTTTATTCACCCAAGTCTGCAATGCCAGCCATGATTCCACCTCCGGCGCACGCTGAGATGGCAATTCAGACTGGGTGTAGTGGTGTGTGCCTTAATCCCAGCTCTTGGGAGTCTGTATGCAGGCAGACCAATAACATGAATTGACAATTATTGTGGGAAACAATATTATATTTATTGTAATAGCATGTGGAAATAAAGTTTTCCCTAAATTTGAAAAAAAAATAAAAAAAAGCATATAAAATAACTTAAGATAGGCACTTTGATTACACTGCCTGCCATCCAAGGGAAGACATATTACGTGCCAGGGAGGAAACATCATCACTTGTCTGTTACTCTGTGATGACCTTTGTACTTCTTCAAAAAGCATCTCATGGAGTGTCTGAGCCACAGCTTACACAGCATTGTAGACATGGTAGTTCCTATCACTCATGACTGTTTCAAAAGAATTCAGAGGCAACCAAACCAGAGAAGCATTAGGGATGCAGTTCTTCAAGTCACAGTCAGACTCAGAGAATGAGCAATCAAAATACTTGGACCAATACATAATGAGGTAAGTATCTTCTGGGTATTTGAAAGGGGTAGCTGCCCTTGCAAGTTTTGAAACCTGAAATCTCTTCACGGCGGTGTGAAAAAACAAGAATCCATGGAATGGATCTAGTGTGAAATCTCTCCCAGCCAGGTCAGCATGCCATCATGAGTTTGTCACCCAGACTTTCCATGTCACTAAGTTTTGCACTATGTTATTACTTACATCATTTGCACGATCAGTGTCATATAAATGATCACAAGATTAGCAGATGATGTGTCTGCATTTAGGATATCATGTTTCTTTACCCTGAAACACAAGAAACAGCCATGGCCGACAGCATCTTCACAAAGGCTACACTTACTCTATCCCTGTCCAGCTCAGCTCTTATATCTGAGAGAAACTGAAGACCCTTATGGCTTTCTGTGATGAGCAGCCCCACCCATGTCCAGTGGAAATGAAGCATCAAGGACACCATGACAAGGGCCAAATATGCCTGCTTTGGAGCTACCAGATGGAAAGAAGGATGATGGCCACTGTCCATCAGTGTAGGATCAAATGAGCCAAAGATAACCTGAAAGGAAAAGAACACTGGGTAACATGCTGCAGTGTTGATGGAAAGCACGATAGTAATTCTGCATGTACTGAGTTGCATGTCTCAGTTGTGGAAAGAGACACATGTTCTTCCCATCATTATAAACATCTCCCACAGCAGACTTCTTTTTAAATAAATAAATGTTTTCAGACATCATGAAAATGTATTTCATTCCTTTCTTCCTTCCTCTTGAATCCCATAAAAGAGAAAGTTACCAAATTGTTAGTAACCCACTAAGTTTCTCTGTTTGGACTCTGATACATTATACAACTTGAAAAAAACTAATCCCAGCCTCATTTTTAACTCTTAATGTTCCCTTTAGGTAAAGCATTGTGGATGAGCTTCTCTCACTTCCTGTCCCACTAAACCTCACCTGTGGAAATCTGTAGAGCTCCAGCAGTGGCCCAATCTGAGCTGAGGTTTCGCATGACATTTCTGTCAGTGCTGCCACACACTTGCTTTCTTTCTTGCAGATGTAATTAGGGATCTCATCCTGCCCTGTGAGCAAAATGAAGGAATTTTCTAGTATGTTCCAATGACTGCTAATGAAATTATGGAACTCATAGCTCAGAGAAATGTTGGGTAAAAGCTGAGGATTCCTGTTGACCTCTTCGATGGCAGAAATGAAGGCCAGGTAGTTCTGGTGCTTGCTATGTATAAGCCTGCACAGAGAACACAGAAGACCTTAGAGAATAGATACAATCAATGATCATCTTCCAATCCAGTCCAGCACCATTCACAAGCTGAATGCTAGTGTCGCTTCCACACATCCATGAGAAGACAGGTATAGACATGATCATGTCAGGGCTGGGGAGATAACTCAGCATTCTAAGTGCCTGCTTGGCAAGCACAAACGCTGTATTCGATCACCAACGCCACACGCAGTGCTGTCCTGGGAACACCAAGCAAGGTGGTGTATGCTTTTAATCCCTGTGCTGTGGAGGCTCAGAAAGGAGGATCCGAACAGCTCTGACCTGTGCAATGAGACCTTGATTCAATATATAAATAAATAAAATTTTGAAAAGATGATATTAAAAAATTGACATTTTGGAAGGCAATTAGATGAATCAAACACATGGATTTCTCATGAAGAAGCCTAGTGGCCTTACAAGATTGCAAGAAGAGTTGCTTCATCATTCTGTTATATTTGTGATGGAGCTAATGTGATCTTGCTGTATATATTTAGAGTAAAATTTCTGTGTAGAATTACACTATGTAAGTGTTCAGAAATACTATATAAATATAAAAATAAAGATTAAACTAGAATTCATTGAGATCAAAACTTAGACTTTGCTTAAGGAATAAAGCCATGAGTCATTGTGCAGATGGTTGAGGACCAGAAATACAAATTCACCTTCCTTCTGGGAACCATTGTGCAGATAATTGCTCCACCCTTCTGCTCTTGTGATATTCCTGTAAAGAAAACTGAACCGATTGTTGACAAAAATGCAATCTCCTTCCAATGTTGGGGTAGAAAGCTCCTTGAAGAAGTTGTATGTCATGAGCACTGTCATTGAAAATGTTGGCAAAGTACAATTTCTTGTTAGCATCAGAATTACTTACTATTGCTCAGGAGTTTCTAAGCCACAGATGAGAAAAAGCAATATGATATAGCAACAGCCTTAACAAAATGAACAATACAAATTTTAAAGCCCTAAAATTCTAGCAAAGTATGACAAAAGCATTAAGAAGAATGTTTTGTATATGGTAATATTTCAATATTTTATTGATGTTGACACCACTCAAAAATATTAAAATAAGAGAATTTTTCTATCTATGACACAAGTGCCCTAAAATTTGCAAAAAATCAATGAAAGTGATAAAACTGAAAACATAAAAGAGTCAGGTTATTTAGACAAAAAGGTACTAATAGGAGCATCATGGCACATACCGGTGCTAGAGTTTGTGATCAAATCCCCCCAGACGAACATGTGTTAATGACTTATTCCCCAGGATGACTCTTCTGAGAAGTGGTGGAACCTGGGGAAGGTGGGGCCCAGTCAGTCAGTGCTATCATGTCCTGGCACAACTGACAGACTCCAGCACTTACTGTTTTCTGGATGTGAGATGCTTGCTCTACCATGATACATCACCCTTGCCAGAGGCCCAAAGCAGCTGGACCTCAGTCTTGGATGGGAACCTTCAGAAATTTTCTGTTTTCACAAGTTAATAATGTCAGATGTTTCAACATAGGAATGGACTAATATGGTGATTATACACAGACACTGGCATATCTTGTATGGAGGACATAGATGAATTTCAGTCTACTTGTCTCAGCTATTTTTCTCCTGTGGCTGGGACAAAAGACCCACCACTCAAAATCAAGAATGACTAGGTTCACTTAACTCACATTTAGTGGAGGTCTCAGTCCGTACTTGGTTGGCCCCAAGGCAGAGCAGCACATGGCAGAGTGCAGCAGGTCACGGAGGTAGAAAACAATGAAGAGCAAAACGGAAGAGCAGCAGCAGCAGCAGCAGCAGCTAGCAAGCTTCCGTCCCTTCCCTATACTGTATTCAGACTGTCTGCCCCAGGGTGAGCATAGCACTCTTCCGTAATCCCAGCATTGGATCATGAATTAATCACAAACTCCAGAAGCACCCCCAGTGACAACATGAGGCCTGGAGGGGCAGCTAGGCACAAATGATAACAATACTGCTGTTTCAAAATCTCTTCAGGAGAAAATATTACACCAAATAGGTGTGTGGCCTCAAACATTTCCTGTTTACAGGCATAACTACGTCCTCTTCTGGCTAAAATATTCCCCATTTATGTATGGCTTTCTATCCCTCCTGTAGGGAATGCAACCTTCTGCTTCTCATGAAAAAGTATTTGCTATGATTCCAACCACTCACCTCAGACAAGCACTGCCCTGCCACATATGCAGCACATCCATTCATGACAACCGCTCACCCCTCTTGATGTCATCTCTGGACCTGGCATGTGCTCCAGAGGTCACCTGCCTCGGGTGCTGAGCAGAGGAAAGTTTTTGACCCTACTTGCATTAACCCAGAGTTCTTATTATCACAATGCACGTTCATTCTCAAGGCACATGTATGAAATAAAGAACTTTATTCAAACAAGACGTTGTTTGCAGAACCAAAAATAGACTGATTGGATACATAATTCTACACTGATTTTAATTGTTGCTGTAATCTGACCTGTCTCTAGCCAGCTAATGGATATTTAATCGGTTGCTTTAATTTTATTACAAAGCAACTAGAATGCAGCTGTAGCTAGACAACGCACAAGTAAATAACATGCATTATTATTTTATTATGTTTATGAGTACAATGTCATCTGTACTCATTTCCACTTGACTAGTAATTTGTTTGTATTAAATCATTATTGCACACTTGCATATGAAACTGCTTACAATGTCTATTTATTGCCACGTGTATGTTAAGTAATAAATTTCTACTTGCATTCATCTTCAAAAAAAAAGAAAGAAGCATCAATAGGATGGATTATAAAAAAGTAATCTTTCTATCTATATCTATCTATCTATCTGTCCCTTTCTATCTGTCTCTATCAATCATGCATTTACCTATATATCTATGTCTCATTATCATGTATCATTTTTATCCCAATTGAATTGAAATTCATTCAATATTAAAATATGTTATTGATAGTGAAATCTATCATGAAAACTAAAATGAAGTGAATAATACACTTATCAGGAAATAAATTCTGGAGATAATAAATAATTCTTTAGAATATAAAAGTAATAAACTAAACACAAAAATATTTTCTATACTATGCTTGAGATGCATTGCAAATAGGAGGAAAAAGGCAAATAATGATGGGTATTTTTATTTCAGCCTAGAAACTCATCTATTTCTGGCTATGCATGAGGATTTTTTTTTTGTTTTTTTTTGTTTGTTTTTTTTTTTTTTCAGGACCGGGGATTGAACTCAGGTACTTGCGCTTGCCAGGAAAGCGCTTATTCCACTGAGCCATCTCCCCAGCCTGAGTTTTTTTTATAAATACATGCAAGCAAAAAACCTAGTAAATCATTTCTAAATATTTTCTGTTCTTAATGTATTACGTACAGGGTCTCACTACGCAGCTCCGAGTCACAGTGATCCTCCTTCTTTCAGCCTCCCCAGCGCTGATATTACATGTGTGGGCCACCATGCAGGTCTCATTCATCAGCTCAGCACGTGTGGGAGCAGGGCTGGCATGGCATGTAGTCCCATGGATTGAACCCTGATCCATGTGCTTGCCTAAGCAGGCAATTTGTCCACTGATCTATCTCGCTGGCCTCAACGATACTTTATCTTTAATATGCAAACATTTTTAAATGGGTTACCTTTTCTAGGATAAAATATTGATAAGGTGTAAGTCATCAAATGAAATATTCTTAAGATGATGCGTGTTATACGATCAATGTAAATGCCAATAAAGGATATGCCAAATATATCAACAAAATGCCCCTTGCTTAACTTGGACTTAGGCCAGTTATCCCATGTAAAGATTGAGGAAATGTTATTTCCCTGAGTGGCTGATTGAAAATACCCATTATTTTGTTTCAGTATAAAATGTAGTAATACATGAGATAATTTAAGAATATGTAACATGGAACACAGCCATTTTACTCTTCAACTTCTTTAGCTTTAATCAAAGAGCATTTCTCTACTTATCAGACATCTCTTTCCCTCTTTATTTTCTATTTTTTTTATTTTTTGGTGGAACTAGGGATTGAACTCAGACCTTTGTGCTTGACAGGCAAACACTTATTCTACTGAGCTATCTCCCCAGTGCTCTTGCCCTCTTTAAATGACAGAAGAAGACATTAATTAGATATTTTGAAACATTCCAAAATGATTGAGAATTAAATTATGATAGATTGAAAGGATATGTCATGTAGGCATAATAATTATCATGAGAATTTACTATATTACATTACGTAAGGAAATGTATTGGTTACAAGAGAGACACAATTATGCTACATTGCTTGTATTTGTATTTATGTGCAGAAAAGCTACTGTATAATCAAGTCTATGGTCTAAATAATATGGCCACTGCATTTGCACATCTGAACAGTATGATCCTTTATAATATTAAAATTAGATTCTTCAAAGTAGGGTTGATATATATAAATTTCATGTGTGTAAACAATCTTATTTTCTAAGTTTTTTCCCTTTTTAATTCTCATTTTAGCAGGAATTTAACTTTTCTCCTGAGTTGCTAAATTCTTCCTCCTTGTGAATACATCAGGCTGGGCATAGAAACTCAGAAATGCAAGTGTGTTCTTTCTAGCCACAGACAGAGCTCACAGTTCATGAGTCTAGAGCAGGAACCACCATATACAGATGAAAGGAAAGCACAGAAAAATTGACATCACCAGGTTGGGTGAGTTTCCACCCCTGAAAGTGCAATTCCAGTGCGCAGTAAACCCTTCGTGTGGTTTTCAGGGTTCTGAGTGGGAAAGGTGCAGGCAAGTGTCCTCCCTGTGGATGGGATCCCCAAGTCCTCCTACCAGTGAGTACTCTTAAATACCAGTTGACACAATAGGGGCAGTGTCTCAACTTTGTGCATGAGCAGAAGCAAGGAGTCTGTAGTCCTCTAGAACTGGCCAGGTACCACAGGGATCAAATGCTTGAATCTTCTAGATGAGTAAGAAAGAAACTCCTTGAGAACTGGCTAGGCTAACAGTGAGAAT